AATTCAAATACAGCAGTTGATGGGTGGGCGGCACACATGACCGACACAATTCGGCAGTCGGCACCAGAGCACCCCCCCCCCCCCACCAGATCATGCTGGATCCATCCCTGCATACATGTACTGTATCATATTTAATTAATGCTTGAGTATATTTGTTCAAATTTATTGACATTAATAAATAATTAAATAATATTTGTTATAGTAGTGTACATTTTGCACCAGCCACTCTTGAAATTAGACGTCAGCCACTTTTTAACTAGATGGCCATGTATGACCTAAGAAATTGTTTTCTTTATTAAACAGCAACTTGCAAGCTTTGTGATATTTCTTGAATGCCTCAAAAGTTGTCAGCTGCTGTTTACATTATCTACTTCACCATGTTTGGTTTTTTAGTATGCATGAACACTATTATTAAGTTAAAGGAGGAAGCATTTATAATGGCATGCAGGTACATTATTTGATACTTCTGAAGACCATCCAGAGTCAACAGATGTATATAGAAACGAGTAAATAGAGACCCATATTTTGACTAGAAATAAGAACCATTTAAATTCAACTCAGCCCGATTTTCACAGAACCAACTTTAAAATGAACTGCAGTCGAACTTTACAACATACATTCCGAACTTACAGATAAACATTGGTGGTCAGATTTCAAAGACAAATTGAAATTGACAGCAAGATGTAATTTTATTGTTGGGGATGGGTTGGTGCTTTAGGGTTTAGGCTCAATTCCTGCAGAAGGGTTACATAAAGTCACAGCAATTTCAAAATTAATTACATGGCTTGACAAAATTCTATTCAGTCACGAAATAGGTAGATGCATTTATTTATAGCACATGTTTAGATATAGGTAATGAGAACCATATTGGTGTCCTAGTAATAAATTTATGCCACCAATAAAAAAGCAACATTGCTATTTTGAGGGAAGTGAACATGACAGATATTGTTTTCTTATAGATACACACCTACTTATATTAAATGATTTTTGTTTGGCAATAAAGTGAAAGGTAAAAATGCTGGAAAAATCTAAAAAGTTAGCCAATTTAAATAACATTTCTATAACTTGCTACACCTAGTCAGTTACTATTATATCACAAACATCTGTCGACATACACTCATGCCCCTCCTTACCACTTGAGTCTCCCACTCACCACATTACTTTATGAAAAATTTTGGATAAAATCCTATTTTAAAAAAGTTAACCCTATACTTTATATGCTGAACATAGACCTCTAAGATATCTCATGCAGCAATTAGTGGGTGCAAATAATATAGCCAACATCACATATGTCCATCCAGTTCCATAGTCTACATCAATTGCTATTGCACTTGGGTCCATTGGATTCAATGGCTTTGGCCGTATTCTTACATTCACTGCAGGTTTATCTTGTCCATGAATAGCAAGGCATGCCTGTTACAAATGATCTTGGTAATGTTTCTCATGAGCAGCACCAATGCACTTGAATGGCACAGCATGGGTGATTTCGTCCTCGTCACTTTCATCCTGATCACTTAACTGGTCACCACTTTCTGCCCTATCACCTTCATTACCATATCCATCCTGACCAGGTTCAAGACCAGCCAACCACTGAACCACTCAAGTAGATCTCTTTCTACAAAATCATAACAAGAAATTTTTTATTTTATTATTTTATACATACACTGTAATCTCTAAAATTAGCAATCTGATGCAAAAGTGTGTCACTATTTACAGTAATATTAGAACAATACACAAATATTATTTTACAGATGAAAATTGAAAAGTATAACTATACTGTATGCACATATATGTAAAAATCTATCCATACAAACAGGCATTCGTTTAATTAACTCAAAACGTGTACATATGTATCACAGTGACACAGCACATATACACACACAATAGGGTCAAACTAGAGGCATTATAAACACAAAAAGTACAAGAATAAAAACAACAAAGCGGAAATTTGACTATAAAATAACACGATAACTGTAATGCATTGTAGTATACCAACCTTAAATACTGCGCTTGTTTTCACGTTCATGATACACGGAGATTTAACGCCACCCAACTTAGAAAGAAGAGCCTCGCTATTGGGAATATATTAATTTAAACACAATTCCTTTTCTCAGACGTATTATTTATAAAGCTAAAATGATAGCACGTCCCATGCAATTTAAAAAAAGGTAAACTTGATATAGTAAAACACAAGTCATAATGATGATCGCAACATGCTGTTTTCACAAAATATCGCAGCCTGACATTCTTGTCGATCGAAAGCTTCCATATTGGTTTTGTAGTCAGAGAGATGTTCACTCCTCGACAGTCAACAGTCAATGAAAGTCACGCGTGGAATTAGGCGCTCAATACCCATGATGCTTTGCGGCCTGCTGTCCAACCTCCTCTGCACTCAGAGTAACATCAATAACATTATATTCACCTGAGTACATAACATTAAAATACACATAAAAAAATATCATGATCACGCAACTCATTGGTATCGAAGGTGACTTAAGCCCCGTTTACACTACGCTCAATTTTTGGTACGGCACGGATAAAATTGGTACCCGTACCACTTTCTTGGTTCTTTGACTACCTATTTAGCTAAGCCCCGTTTACACTACGCTTAATTTTTGGTACCGTACCACTTTTTGGTTCTTGGACTACCTAAATAGGTAGTCCAAGAACCAAGAAAGTGGTACGGGTACCAATTTTATCCGTGCCGTACCAAAAATTGAGCGTAGTGTAAACGGGGCTTAAGTTCCGAAATACCAGACACTCGAACAGACTTGGAAGGTAAGAGCCTGGGTATGAGGTTGGCTCTTGGACTAGTATCTCAAAGGTCGCGGGATCGATTACCACCCTGGTCAGGCTAACTTTTGAGCCTGCCCGGTGTGGGTATACATTCAGAGTAACATCAAAACATTATATTCACCTGAGTACACAAAAAATATTATGAACAGTAATTGTGTAGCTTAAAAAGATTATTGAACACATATGTGTCCATACAACCTTCGTAATAATATATGTGAACATAACTATATATACCTTCTGTGGCCTTGCATGCAGTGAGTATTTAAAAAAATAAAAAATGTGTCAGCAGTTATTCCAAAAACTATACCAGGTCAAGAATAATAGTTCATTTTAGCACAATATATATAATACAAATCTTTCCTATAACTGCCATTTTTCTGCCTGAAATGGAAGATAAGATTTCCAAAAACTAAAACAAAAATGTTGACACTCATCGCATCCAAAAAGGCCCAACTTTCGTGCGTGTTTTGTAAAGCAAAACTTTAATTGCATAATTGTTCGAAAACAACACCGCAATTTTGTCAAACACGTCAGTTTTGGTAGCTACGGTTTTAAAAATAAACTATGAACCTGAAATTGGCTGAAAATCCTCGGACGTCGAAGAAATCGATCTGTTTGAAAAGCAATACTGCTACTACTCCACTCTCATCTCTCATAATTCGGAACGAGAAACCCGTCTACTTCATATGAAGTGCCGTGTATTGCGAATTGTAATTTATTCAAACGTCCGAGCATGCATAAAATTAATTTGAAATCATGCAAAGAAATTGCGTTTTAACTAACAAAATGGGAAAAAATCCAGGTTTAGAAGATCTCGCGTTGGCCTATGCGTGCACCAAATTTCTTGAAACTTTGATAGCTTGTGCAAGACAGTCCATATTTTGACTTTGTGTGATTAAATTTTGTTTCTGATGAAAAATGTTTTGCGCAAGGCCTTTTATGGGGGGGGGTTTAGTAACAGCTTTCCTACTCTAAAAACCAGTGGCGAAGCCAGCCCGACTTTTTACTCCTGCTATCCAGGTGATCTCGTGTTCTTATTTTAGCCAATCAGCGCTCAGAAATGGTTGTCCGAATAGAAATCCATTTTGATGTATTCAGTCAATTATATCTTTCGTTATTCTTCATGAAACTAGTTGAAATTTTGTAATTATGTTTGGTTATGAGAACTATAGCTCTGACAAAAATATGAAATCGAAATAAAGTATATTACAGGAGATATTCAGTTGTTTTAATCATAAAATGGATTTCTATTTGACAACTAGTGCCAGTACTTTTCTGCGTATCAAGATCACCTGGATGTAAATTTCAATTCATTATCATTATTATTTTCTTTACAAATCGATTGTTTTTACAGACCATTAACTCGGAAAAATTAACATAGCAGGAGTAAATAGTCAGGCTGGATTCGCTACTGCTAAAAACGCTAGCATTTTAAATAATTAAAACGCAAATGTCGCGCGCATCTGACTTTAGTGAACTTTTTCCAACTGCGTAGTTTTTTTATACACCCTGTGTTTCCCTATTCTGTGCCCTGTGTGAATTCTTTCTACTGCAGAAGCGCATTGCCATTAACATGAGGACTTTCGTGTAAACACTTTTTGTCCGGTAATTGAGACGGTTTCGTCTGAACAACTATGAATTTTCATTCGGTTTCGGATTGCTACAGTAAGCTGTGCACGAACTCGTCCAGTTTCATGCGTCCCGTGTCAAGGCAAGGGAAAATTGTGCAAATTTTTCTCCCCTTTCACATGTATCTGATCCCGTGTAATAAACCTACGATATCCCCCAAAATGCTCAATTTTAAGGCACTTCCGGCATTGAACACCTGTTCTTTCGCAAGATTTCTAATGTAGAATTCACAACTAGAGTCTATAGAGCAACTACCAAATTTCAATAATTGCAACTACCAAATTTCATGTAGAGCAACTACCAAATTTCAAAAATTGCAACTACCAAATTTCATGTACAACAACTTGTAGCATCTCTGTATAAAATATTTTTCAAAGCTCACGTTTTTTCAAAAAACGGAAGTGCGGAAAAACCTCAACTTTCGGATTTCGCGATATAGGTGTATGGGGGCAAAGCGAAAATGAAAACTGAATAAATTCGATTTGCATGAGTGGCTTGCATAAGATAGCCTTTGTATACGTATACTCCACACATACTGTACCTTTAGGAGACAAATTCATGTACTTTAAACGGATATGATTCTAGAAGAACTATTTGGTAGTTGTGTGGCCCTTGTCTCGCGTTTAATAATTCAAACACCGCCGATATCCCGAGAAAATCTGCAAAGGGAATACACGTTGATATCCGTGCCAAATCCTGAACAAGACGAAGTATACGATGGCTTAATACACCGTGAGTATGAACAAGAGGCACTGACCGAGGTGCCTTATTATGAAGATGGGACATTTGTTTCGATGCAAGCTCATGACACAAGGCGAAATTCCTTCGAATCATTTATCCGAAGTTTGAAGGCAAATGTCGGATTAATAATTTCGGTTGTTGTCATATTAGGTTCGCTTACAGTTGGAGTCGTCTTCGTGGACTTGAATTCAAATGACGCTTGTATAGAATGGATGCACAAAAATCTTAGTGTTCCAGCGCACGTACAGACAGTACGGATTGTTAGAATGTCTGTCAAATTACTGCCGTTGTTTTTATGGTTTCCAGCATGCATCGCCTTGTTGTGGGGTTTCCGAGAGTTCAAAAAGAATTACCTTGCGTGTTTATTTTTTTGCGCGTTTGTTCCAAGATCCATAACCTGTGTTTATAGAATTATTATGCTGGATAAGTTCACAAAAGTCGCTTACAACCCATACAGGTTAGTAAGTAAACTGGTTTATATAATAGTATATGAACACTAGTTTGTAAATATTCTATAAAATATTTGTTGAATTTTACGATAGTCACTTGGAATTTGAAAGAGAAAAATATCTCTACGTTTTGAGAAGAGTTTGGTGTGTATATATAGATTAGAGGAATGGATTGGAAACGTAATTTGGCAACGTATGGATGCTATCCATAATATATACGACCTGCACAGTCTATACAATCACAATCACATCTTCTTTTGAAACGGAAAACAGCATAGCAATGAAATTAATAATCTTTTTCTAGCTTTGTCACTGAGGAATCAGTCTTTCATAAATCTTGTAAGAGAAGAAACATTTGCTTCCGTCGACAATATACGCACATTTCATGACAGTATCTTAAATCTGTTATCAGAGAATGAGACCTCCGAAACGACAATTTAGCAATTTAACATACGGAATCACGAGTTATGGGATTACAGGGAACTGACTAGCATTTATTGAAAATTGTTGTCAAACAGGATTGTAAAAAGCTACAACTTATATTTTCGTTCCGTAGACATAATTATTTCAAAATTATTTCATTTAAAAAGCGTAAAATAGTACTAATTCCTTAATAATTATTATTTAACAAATACTTTTAACAGAGTTATAGTCAATATCACAGATGCCGCGAATGATCGACGACGGTTTAGGAAATTGGTTGAAAACTTTTGACGAAGATGTCAACAAGATTTTTCTCTTTCACAATCGAATGGTTGTCGTGAAATTCAAATTCATTAATGAGAAATCATAAGCCCACTAATTATGACCTCACAAATAGACACACTGACTTAGCCCTTCCAGGGCAAAGAAGAGAATTTCACCAGTAATTTTTCAAGTACAGCGGGCTAAACTCACATTGATTCAGTAATTGCTAGGGAGGGAGGGAGGGAGGGAGGGAGGGAGGGCAGTGGGCACTTTGCGAAGTGGCGCCACTGTTTGTGACAATTTTCTTTGTTTTTGTACAGATTACCAGCCAATTTTCTATATATGTCTTCTATTGCCTGTGGTGCTTACCTAGTTTCTCGTAAATTCAAGAAAGTCAACCCGGCAACATCGTACAGTGTGTTCCGCATTTTTTTCATTCTTTCGTTGGTTTTCCTAAGTTCCTGCTTATTTTCCTATATCTACACGTTTATTATCATCAAGTATTTTAGAGAAATTGAAGGCAAAATAAAGAAAGCCATAATCGCCGCACTCACACCCGGGATTATCTTCCCAGGGACTGCATTCGTAAAATATCTTATTATTAGAAAAAGTTCGGAGATTATTACACCAGATCGCGCTTTTGTATTATGTTATTTCATGCGCGGGGCCACGATCGTTCTATACCGAACTATGCAGTCTGGTTTTCAAAATATCTGGCTTTTCGTTGGTTTATCACTGTTACATGGCGTCTCAAACGTTCTGAGTAAGGCAACTCTCAACGTTCGTATAAAACTTTGGAGGTTTTTCATAAAACATATTAACAAAAGATGCTGTGGACCAAGATTGGAAGTACAACCTTTAAATTCGCCACGTATTCGTCGATTCAACGCAGATCTTGAACTTCAGAATATCTTGTTCGAGTACACCACGGTCATCTTAAGTCAGGCGTATTTAGCATGTTATCTTGTAATGAGCTACGATATCCCATCCTGGCAAGTGATAAAAGCTTCCTTAATCAGGGTAACGATAAGTTTGGCCATAGATTTTGCATTCAATATTATGTCTGTGTTCATTCAGATTCACTTTTATGACATTCCGATGCAAAGAATTTGGATGAAGTACTGGAGACGACATGTCATTGCTAACGCTATCATGATCATCGTTTTTGTAGCATATTTTGGTACAGTGCTCATCAGGGTGGTCGCAGACGACAATTACACTTGGAAAGCATACAGACTTAGAAATTGTACAACAATATTTTAAGCCTCGTTTGCCTATTACGACGGCAGGGTTGTACACCTTCATAAGCTGGAAAAACCAAGGCCGTCAAGCACTTCTTTCCTTCATTTTGCAGGTTTCGAAATATGACAAAAGTATAATTTCGGTAATAAGTTCTTCACTATATTCCATTAATAATCGCTATCAAGTAATATTACTATGGAAAATGCGACATAAACCTTCAATAAATTAAACTTTCCAATCAAGTGTATAACTGTATATCAATGTCAAATATTTAATTTCTAGATTCTAGACTTTGTATAAGCCAATTCGCAATCTCGCGACAAAAGAACTTAGATTTTTTATTCTTTACAAATAGGGTTAGACAATAAGAAATAAAAAGATGGAAAAATTATTAAACGGAAGCGCCGGAAGCCTTTATTTTTCACAGCAGCCCTGGTAATCGGAGTCCGATCCGATCCGACTACGAAAATACTTTTCCAATCCGATCCGAAGTGAATATTATGGCTCCGAAGTCCGAACGAATCCGATCGGATTGGTTTCGGATTGGATTTGCACATCTCTACTGACAAATAGGAACCATAATGTACGAATGAACGCGTTCTCATGAACCCATAGGACACACACATACATGCACTAATTCAGCTATCTCCCCATCGGGCTTTTCAGTGACCGATTCTAATTACCTAAAATACTCATTAATAATTCATAAACCTTGTGGCAAATCATGTCAGCCATAATATGTCACGTGGAGTGACTTTATATCTGATAAAGCATGCGGCATTATATAATTGTTCATCCTAATTAGTATGATTATATAATGGTTCATCCTAATTAGTATTCTTTTGTAGTCGTATTTTAAGACTATTTTAGTAGTATTCTATTGTAGTCGTATAATAAGTCGTATTTTTGTACTCGTTGTCGTGTTTTATCAGACATAAAACGCTCGGCTGCGCCTCGCGTTTTATATCTGATAAAATACTCCTACTCGTGTTTTAAATAGTACATAACATATTATGTCTTATTAAATTGTCCAATCAAAAAACAGCATTTATATAACGTGACGCCGTGATTCTTTACGGTATTCCATTCAATTCTATGATTACGCAATGTAGCGTGAAATATTATACCGCACAGCAGATATTGTAGTATCTCGCTCTCGCGCTTGGAAACCATGCGCGTATGGCATGATGAAAACTATGGCGTTCTCGAGGTTTTGTTCCTATGTTTTTTCATGATTTCTTGCATGCTTTAACTAAAGATTTTCACGTGGGTATTTATAATTTTATATAGATCCTTCGCTTGGGGGATTCGGCGAAATATTACCCGAAGATATTTCCAAAGGGGTTTCGACTTGGGTTTTCGCTCCGAGAGAAATATGATCACTGACTAATATTTCGCCGAATTCCCCCAGCGGAGCGACTTATGAATGACATTGATGGTAACATACTCTTCGCTTAGTTATTCAGCACGTTTTGTTTTCAACTTAGTCCCATTCTTTAACATTCGGTATAATATATCATTTATATAAATTGGGTAATACGTTTGACCCTGGTAATTATAGAGGAATATTATACCTCAAATTCAAATTGTCCAATCAAGAAGCTTAGTTTGTGCCACGTGAGCATGAAATTAATCGCGATATCACGCCTTACGTCATCAATTAGCGAGCCTGCGTTCCTTTTGACAATGTTCCACCATTATTCGCGTAGACCGCACGAGACAACACGCATGACAAAAACATGGCCGACAAAATATAAATCATATTGATGAGTGATGAATAATCAAATTTTAAACGTAAAACCTGGGGTGTTTTCAAAATTTTGAAGCAAATTTTGAAAAATGTTGTCATTAATATTCCAAACGATATGTGATAAGAAAGAAAATCGACGAATACTTGCGTTAATCCGAAAATAAAACATCGTATGCGCGAAGGTATGTGTCAAGTTTTTAATTCTCAACTTAGAGGCTTTTAATTTTCGGTATAATATATCATTTATAGACCCTCCGCTCGGGGGATTCGGCGAAATATTACCCTCAGTGATGATATTTCCCTCGGGGCAAAGCCCCTCGGGATATATCATCACTTCGGGTAATATTTCGCCGAATCCCCCAAGCGGAAGGTCTATAAATGATAAATGTTCTTGTACTACTGGATAACACTTCAAAAGTCATTCTGGTATTCCTAAATATTGAATGATAGGTAGATATTAATAAATATTGTATACTGTAATTTGATACCGGATTTCTGGGTAGGCCTAGCCTGCTCACAGGCTCTATTATATAGAGCCTGTGACTTTTATTGATACGCCCCCTTTGAGATAATTGAATATCCGGTAAATAGTAGCCAATCAAAGCAAGTTTTGTTAATTAGATTACCAGAGGTTATTAACAACAACAAACAGTTTCTCGCGCAATTTTACGCCTGTATCTTTCATTAGGATTCCAAGGTCTAAACTTTAATCTAAAATAATTCATGGTCGTTTTTTCCCTAAAGTGTTTTAATATTTAAAACATAGTCCCGTTTGTATATTGCTGTCTTGTTCGTACATTGCCGTTTTAAATTATGTAACTACACTACAGAGACGTAAAATTTTACTCTCTATTAGTTAATGTATTTTATATATTTATATCCAAAATATAACTGTAAGATTTAAGTAAACGTATTTAGGTTTTGAACAAAGTAACAAACACTATTTATTAAAAGTGTCGAACAATAGCAGGCTAAAAAACAACAATCATCATTACGTGAAGTCTGTCATTTGCTCAATAATACAATTAACTCAATAGACAATAGACAATTTGAAAACCCGTGGCCGTGGCATCAATTCTGCCGTGTTTAATAGCTACATTTTTTTTGTAAAAAGCTCTTGTTGTAATAATATATGTCACTAGTTGAGACTCCCAAAAATAAAGTCTCAAAGAGAGAGTGGACTTCGGTCAAAAAACACGCAAACGACTATTGCAAAATTTCCAGGTGTAAATTCAAATTGGCCAGGTGTTCTAAGAACGACTTTCCTCGACGGCGTCTGTTTTAATAATTTGCCCATTGTCTTGACTTATTCAAGACCAGATTGTTTAGGCAGAAAGCCTTGGGTTGACAGGGAAGTATTTGGGAGAAATGTTCGGAGGCATTTGACAATCAACTGCTTTATATTAGCTGATTCACTGCCTGTGTCTCAACGAACGTCTCGCTGGGCTAACCTTCAACGTTTGAAACCGCAAGTGATGCAAACGCGGTTAGATAAATTGTCAGCCTGAACTAGACTTATTTTACTCTCTCTGCAAAGATCAGCAAGGCATACGTCGAAGTTTTCCCTTGTACTTCTTTGGAAAAGGTTTATTATTATAGCTGACGAAGACAAAGTATCGGTATATTACATGTAAACTTTTATCAAATCCCGTTGGAAGTACAGTTAATATTGCTAACCTTCGCTCATCCTTCAACGTTAATTTAAATTGAAAGGTTTCTCAAATACATTCAGTTACTTCTTCGAAGAGATAAACAAAGTCATGGTTTTATACGCCACTGATTTGAATGCCAGCTTTAAAATTACATTGCGAAATGTCGTACGAGTTAAATATTTGCACGATATTAACTCATGGGGCACTTCTGACCAATAGGAATTTTGCGTACGCTCCGTACGCATAAATCGACTTTTTACTAATAAAGGTCGCAGGCCGTACCTCCCATGCAGCCTCTGCCTGACAACGGCCTGCGAGCAGGCTAGCATGGAGCCTGACACGCAGGTTAACGAATACTCGACTCGGAAAGTCAACGTCAATAATTCAATTATCTCACGTCATTCGTGTTACTATCTATCTATCTATCTTACAAACCCGTTGACATAAAGGATGTTGCTTCACAAATCCTTAAAAATCGAACAAATGTGTATATTAATCAATCGTAATTAAGGTCTACTAAATCAACCCGAGTTAGTACAGTAAATCAGCTTAGTGGAATCTGTCTTTGTCTTCATCTACTACGAATAAGTGTCTCTAAATATGTGTTTGTATGTCGCAACAATATTTATTTTCAATATTTTGATCGGTAACGTTAAACAATACGTTCTGTTTTTATTATAAACAATGGTGGCTTTCTGACAATAGTTGATTGCGGTCGAAAAGAGACTGCAATCTGAACATTCTTTGTCATATCATCAAATATAAACAAAGTGACTATACAGCCGGCAGCCGGATATTTAGTAAACTGCCGGCTATATAGTGACTATAGTTTAATATAAAAAAAGTTTTGTTTGTGCTACCTTTTACAGAGCTTGCCGAGTATACGGTATAGGCGCTGCGTGCCGAAAGTGAAACGCAGTCCGGGTCAGGTTGTGTTTTGTCTGACTTAGCTTTTTTTTTGTCACTATATAGCCACCAGTTTACTAAACAGCACTTAGGAATATAATTGTTTACTCAATAATTGTGAATGAAATTTTTTCAAAACAACCATGGAATTCCTTTGCGCAGATACATGTACGTACGCCTAGCGTACCTATTTTTTCATGACTTGTACACATGGCACCTATGACTTCAATTATGACCTGACGTCTTACTTGAAGTCTTTTATGGCGTCTATACATGTATATGCAAATATAAAGTCAACACTGTTTGCGCCCCAAATTGACAGTTAAAAAAAAAGCAGAGAAGCCATACGCATTCCTCTGCCGTGGAATTGAAGATTAATTTGGCTCCTTGTCAACTATGGTCAGTGTTTGAATGATGAAAAGCCATGGTCATCCGACTTTGAAGGTTCATATGTTCGGGTCGCTGCGTGTAATATGAAGACAAAAATACGATTCAGTGAAACGATATCTCCTAATTCCTAACAATTGTAGCGATTTATGACATGTATGGCCTTTGAAAGTCAAGTGAGATCGTATAATATCAAATTACTCATACCTTTAATAAATTTCGCCAATCACAACTTTGGCCCATTGCGACGTATCCTCTTTGTAATAGTCTTGTTCAACGCAATATCCAAAACACTATGTACAGTCTTACTTTCAAACTTGTAGCTT